CAATGGATATTCCAGTCTTGATAAGAAGCTCTGCCCTTTCGGTGGGTTCGGGAGATTGGGAAGGCCCTCTCCATCTCTGGAGCATCACCTGTGTGTGCACGTTACAGCCACTGGGCAGCAGAGGGCGCCCTTCACTTTGCCATTGCCCTACGCCCCAAGGTCTAACACGTCGCCCCTAACATGCTTATTTGTACTTTTCTCAACAGTCAACATTGTCTTAAAACTAATCAGTGTGTTCCTCTTTCCGTGTGTCGTCTCGGTCGTGGGTCTTTGATAGGACTGTTTTTAAAACGTGGAATATAGACCAATACGGTCTCTTCTTTCGTATGGCTGGAGGGAAAAGCAAGTTTTTGAAACGTATTATAGTGCATTTTTTTTCCAACCAATCCAAGAAGGCAGTAAACGCTGTGCGGATTGCAGCGACACCGCCCGGATGGTGAATGCATGGCGCATTCGACAGTAAGTATAGTATGTACTGCACTGCATACAACGTATTTACTGAACGTAAATATTTCATTAAGGGTAAAAAAACAATAAATCAGACGGTAAACATTAGACGAATACGTACCTATCCATGCACTTATGACATTTTACGAATTTGGAGTTACAGTACAGTGTTGTACATGTTAGGATAACGTAACTTACTCTTTGCAAATCTATATTGACTGTTTAATGCTCTTCTAGTTTTTACTTTTTTCCAATGTAGTTTCTGCATAATGCAAAGGTTTTGATGCTTATTTTACACGTTTGGTGTGATTGGATGCTCCTGCCTACGATTTGCAGATGCTGATCTTAAAACGTATAGTCTTGCAATATGGATCGTGACTTCAATAAATTATTATTTTAATTCCGATCAGTTCTGATTGTTGAAACTGTGAATTCGATCTCCTGCACTGTCAGATGGGGTGGTCTGGAAATAATGCATTCTGGTCTTGGTTCTTTTGGTAAAGTCACGTAGAAGGGAAACAATAAAATAATAAAAATATAAAACAATAAATTCTCACGACGTTTCGACTGCAACACAAGCAATCATCATCAGGTGTTAAAACCACAGCAATATATTTTTTTCAAATTTTCTTGCTGTGGTTTTCACACCTGATGATGCTTGCTTGTGTTGCAGTCGAAGCGTCGTGAGAATTTTATTGTTTTATATTGTTATTATTTTATTGTTTCCGTTCTACGTGACTTTACCGAAAGAACCAAGAACATGAATCCCTGCAGTCACGAAAGCTTTAAATCAAAATCTAATGCATTCTGGTCATAATTTTCACCAGTCATGATCTGCCATGAACCAAATACACATAGAGATGGGACAATTAGTCGATTAAAAGTTGTAATCAAATAATGTTTGCGGTCATTTATTCAGACGTTCTGCCTCCAGAAGTTGGGAAACCCCTTTAAACCCACGCCCACCAGAATGCGGCCGACGATACTCGTGGCGTCTCACAAGCCTCGCTCATCACCCCCCGTCCAATGGCACCCATGGCAAGCGAGGTGAGATACATTTTACAAACTATTTTCGTGTTATCTGATAATTCGAACTAAACCGATGAGCGATAGCGCAGTCATCCATTACTCGCGTAATCGGATATCCCAGGTTTACTTCCCAGAGCAACTTACCAACGTAGCTTACAGATATGTTTTAGGGACGCATTAATAACTAGATTATGTTTTGATTTAAAGCTTTCGTGACTGCAGTAATTCATATTCTTAGTTTTTTCGGTAAAGTCACGTTGAAGAGAAACAACAAAACAACAAAATATATATATAAAACAATAAAAAAATTCTCACGACGTTTCGACCATAACTCAAACGGTCATCATCAGGTGTGCCAATCGTTGCGCGTGACGCAAACGTTATTTATATATATATAAATAAATAAATATGCCGTTTTCAAAATAAATTTATGCAAACCGACACACCTGATGATGACCGTTTGAGTTATGGTCGAAACGTCGTGAGAATTTTTTATTGTTTTATATATATTTTGTTGTTTTGTTGTTTCTCTTCAACGTGACTTTACCGAAAAAACTAAGAATATGAACTAGATTATGGTTGTGAAATCGATGCAGTAATTAAAACTCACACTTCAAGACCTAAATACAGTAATTAGAATACCGCATATTCACATGGCACAAGACAGAGCAAAGTGGAAACAAACTACGAAATGTGAAGTGGACACCTACGGGTTATTTGCCCATGGATCGTGACGATGATGCTATTCCATGACAGTAAATTGTAAATGTTGTGGGTTTACTCTCCAACACAACGGGGTGCTGAAGTAGTAACTAAATAATGGCACGTTTTGTTTAGGTGATAACCCTTACTAATTGGCCTTGGTGGGTTAACGACAACATTACATTTACGCCAACCCCAAACAATCCTTGATTATGAATATGAAAACAACAATAGGTTTTACCCTTTTTGAGAATAAAACAGGTGTTAAGATGTTCAAACACCGGATATAAACATTTCGCAAGGAATCACGTCTGCATTAACCACACGTACTTGTTGGTGAACATGAACACGTTTACTGTTCACCTTGTGGCGTTCTCTGGCCTGACACTGGTGAGACTAGGCTCTAAAGAGGACTGCTGTCTCTGGCGTAGCCCAATCAGTTTCAAAGACAAGTAAATATATTATCAGAGCATGATTGTTCGCATGTTCACCAAAAGTACGTGTAGTTAATGCAGACGTTATTCCTTGCAAAATGTTTCTATTTGGTTTGAACATCTTGACAACTGTTTTATTCTTGATTTGAAGCTTTCGTGACTGCGGGAATCCATACTCTTTGGTTCTTTCGGTAAAGTCACGTAGGTAGAAAAAATATAATAGATTACGATGTTTCGATCGCCTCACAAATCACACGAGCAATCGTCTCGGGGCGATTGCTCGTCCTCGGGACGATTGCTTGTGTGGCGATCGAAACATCGTGATCTCAAGTATGACGTCACAAAGCTCTGCCCCCCCCTCCCCCCCCCAAAAAAATAAAACATGCTTCAAATCGCTTTAAACTATTGTCATTGTAGTGCGTATTTAATGTGGCGCTGCACTCTGATGTTGTGGGAGAAAACATTTAATAAAAAATCATTTTAATTAAGTAGAACGTGTTGTCTGTATTTATTTAAAGTTGCGCATTTTGATGTGACGTCACATTTCTCAACCCCTCCCCTCGTCACACATCGTCACAAATGTCTGATCCCCCCCTCCCCCCCTAGGTGCGTGACGTCATTTATGGACGGCCCCTAAAGGGTAAAACCTATTTTTTCATACTTTTATACTGGCAAAAAGGTCCCATTATGAATAATATTGAACGCGAAAGCTTATGTGTTAAACTCACACGACCGGAGTTCGTGATGCCACAAAGGAAACTTTGGACCAATCAGAGACACGAATCCTATGGTCCGCGTGCAACCCTTTTGACCAATCGCGTCACCCGATGGATTGTCGCTCATTATGACGTAATTATCTCCGACAAACCGGCGTCCAACCGCGAGCGGGAATTGCGGTCACGTGTCCGCCTCATTCGCGCGCCAATCGGTGCCGGATGCGGGGGAGTTGGAGGGGGCTGAAGAGGAGGGGAGGGGGGTTCGGGGACAAAGGTGGTTGGGGGGAGGGTTGTGGTGGGGGGGGGAGGGGTTGGGGGGAGGGTTGTGGTGGAGGGGGGGTTGGGGGGAGGGTTTTGGTGGAGGGGGGGTTGGGGGTGGTTGGGGGGAGGGTTGTGGTGGGGGGGGAGGGGTTGGGGGGAGGGTTTTGGTGGAGGGGGGGGTTGGGGAGGGGTTGGGGGGAAGGTTTTGGTGGAGGGGGGGGGGGTTGGGGGGAGGGTTTTGGTGGAGGGTTGTAGTGGAGGGGGGGGTTGGGGGGGGAGGGGTTGGGGGGAAGGTTTTGGTGGAGGGGGGGTTGGGGAGGGGTTGGGGGGAGGGTTTTGGTGGAGGGGGGGTTGGGGAGGGGTTGGGGGGAGGGTTGTGGTGGGGGGGGGGAGGGGTTGGGGGGAGGGTTGTGGTTGGGGGGGGGTTGGGGGGAGGGTTTTGGTGGAGGGGGGGTTGGGGGGGGAGGGGTTGGGGGGAGGGTTGTGGTGGGGGGGAGGGGTTGGGGGGAGGGTTGTGGTGGAGGGGGGGTTGAGTGGGGGTTGGGGGGAGGGTTGTAGTGGAGGGGGGGGGGTTGGGGGGGGGGGAGGGGTTGGGGGGAGGGTTGTGGTGGAGGGTTGTAGTGGAGGGGGGGGTTGGGGGGGGTTGGGGGGGGTTGGGGGGAGGGTTGTAGTGGGGGGGGGGGTTGGTGGGGGAGGGGTGGGTTGGTGGGGGAGGGGTGGGGTGCAACCCGCAACCAAACGTCGCACGTGGACGAATCATCGCGATCCTACGGAGCTCGTCACGACGCGAATTTTTCACAACGCTAATCGTCACGGCAAATGGGGTTTGCTTAGTTCGAGTGAATTCTAGCGACACATCATCTGTGACCAACTGGAAATATAAGAGCTTTAAATAGCTCGCCGGATTACCTCCGATAGAGGCACATATTCTCACTCGTTCTCACGTGGTGTTTTTCTCTTATGCCCCACTCTCAACCCACACCCTGCCGCACAAAGCCCGCTCCTCCTACGACAAAGGCCCGGATGCGATGACATCACCACGGCAAAGCGTCCCCGCCCCTCCCCCCGGGCCGCAATTGCATTTCCTAGAGCGCCCGTGGCGACTCCGCGCTCGGCGATTGGGTCCGGGGGCAGGGGGGGCGGGGTTCGGGGCGGGTCGGGGGGGGGGTGTGGGGGCGGGTCGGGGGGGTTCGGGGCGGGTCGGGGGGGGGGGGGGGGCGCGGGTCGGGGGGGGTGTGGGGGCGGGTCGGGGGGGGGTGTGGGGGCGGGTCGCGGGGGGGGGGTGTGGGGGCGGGTCGCGGGGCGGGGGGGGTGTGGGGGCGGGTCGCGGGGCGGGGGCTCCGCGGGTGGGGGGGGGGTCTGGGGGAGGGGAGACGGGGATCCGGTGGCGGGGGATCCGGGGGCGGGGGGATCCGGGGGCGGGCCACGTGACCGGCGGTTCGGGTCCTCGTCGCCTCCGACGAGCGGCGGTCGTGGCCCCCGCGTCTCGCGTTGCTGGCAAGGGGGGGGGGGCGGCGGCGCGCGATCGCTCGCGTTAGCGTCGGCGGTGTCTTTCGCGTCTCGCTCTCTCGCCTCCCGCCCGCTGCTTCGCTACCTTTGGGTGAGGTGAGTTGAGTGTGCGCTCACAGGGTTCGTTGATTCGTGTAGGTCGTTTGCTGCGCGGAGCCGAGCGCGGCGGGCGGGCGGGGGGGAGACGAGAAGGGGGAGATCTTGGAGCAAACAAGGGGAGGGAGGGAGGCGAGGAGACACGAGCGTGGGTAGGAGACGCTGATACAGCAACACGTGCACTGCAGGCGCAGGGCCACCAGCAACACGTGCACTGCGGACACGGGGACACTGACAACACGTGCACTGCGGACACGGGGACACTGACAACACGTGTACTGCGGACGCGGGGACACTGACAACACGTGTACTGCGGACGCGGGGACACGGGGACACTGACAACACGTGTACTGCGGACACGGAGACACTGACAACACGTGTACTGCGGGCACGGGGACACGGGGACACTGACAACACGTGCACTGCGGACACGGGGACACTGACAACACGTGTACTGCGGGCACGGGGACACTGATAACACGTGTACTGCGGACACGGGGACACTGACAACACGTGTACTGCGGACACGGGGACACGGGGACACTGACAACACGTGTACTGCGGACACGGGGACACTGACAACACGTGCACTGCGGACACGGGGACACTGACAACACGTGTCGTACACGGACTGATTCACACCGATGCACATGGACACTTTAAACGCGCTTCAAGCGCAGGGATACCGATACAGACACTGTTGCTCGCGCACACACGGGCAGTGTCAAATATTGGCACGTGTATACACGTAGCGTATACGAATTATACCTGTAGTGCCACAGTCACTCTTGCACCTGCACCCTCCTTCGAGAGAGTTGATTCTGCACAGTATTCAATGAGTACTCGTCCACACACCGAGATGCTACTGCCTGCACCGGTACAGTACGCTCATTACAAACTACTGTACCTGCATAATAATAGGGTTTTTTTTTTTCTCTGGCAACAAAACTGAAACCTTCATACAAGGATTCGTGTCTGCATTAACCACAATACCTGCAGTCAAAATGCAAACAAAAAAACATTATGATAATATATGATGCATTGTCCTTGAAGCTGATTGGTCCACACCAAGGGACGGCTTTCTTTTGAGCCTATTATTATATTTTGGTACTGGCAAAGGAGGTCTGATGATACTGTACCTGCACTTTGCAATCACAAATGCACACGTACAAGTCGAAATAATATGCATCCTCACTTGCATTAATTCACGATGCATACACGTTGAAAATATGCCCAATTTATGTGACACTTCATCAGAGTGCGCTCTTCCCCCCTTGTGAATAGCTTTAACCAAAAAAACCCATTTAAGATGTGTAACGTTCCAACTCTGAGTGGAAAAAAAACCCAAAAGCTATGCACAGTAATTGCTGCTTAAATACATTGGCGGGATATCGCCCTTGCTGAGTGGAAGGGAAAGGTTACGTTTTCGAGGGCAGGACATTAATGGCACTGCTTTTACACTGGCTGTGTCGGCACACGACCTTCTAATGTTATGTGTTTGTGTGCCGGTTGTCCCCCATACAATCGTGAACGCATTGGGTAACTTTAAAAGTCACCGCAGTATACACTGGAGTGGCCCGGCCATCATCACCTTACCTGGTTACCTTATGCCGAGGGCCGATGTTCACACTGCAGCAGTTACGCCTTCATTACTTAAATATCTCATCATTACAGACATGTTATTCATAACGTGTTCGCTTGCAAGGATGTTGTTACTCAAGTAGATTAAATTACCTTGATAATTAGCATTTGATTATTTCAGCTTCAGTTGGCTCAAAGAATGAATGTATATAAATGTTTATTTTTAAGTGCTGAAATAATTGAGAGGTTTATAATTATCTTTGAAAATAAATGTCCTTCATATTCAGTTTCATTTACGAAAGGCCTACATTTATTGCACAACATGTATGAGGTATTTAAGTTCCAATAAATTAAATGTATTATTGCATAATGTAGCGAGCTATAGCCCTATATTGTGGTAACACGACTATACTGATCCTGTACCTAGAAACAGTGAAACTGACCTCCAGGTGACTTTTTAACATCACCGTTAAGGCTCAGAGGTTTAATTCCAAGCTGCATCACCATGAGACACATGGATAATCCATTTGCTTTCAGGACTACATAGTTTGTCTCCCAATTCTTGTGCTGAGGAATACAAGGCATTTTCCCGACTGTGCTCATTTTGTAGATTGCAACACAGTTGCTTGAAGCTTATGAGTTGGAGTGGTTCCTGGGTAAAACTTACTCTTATATAATCGCGCAACTTTATCTATCTGTGATGAACGCTGTGCACTTTCCATCGTTTTCATGAAAGGAGGCGCTGCAAACCTACGCACCCCCTGCATGAACGACGTTAGGCTCAGGGATAGACGTTCGATTACGTTGGCATCGATCTGCAGACGGTGGTCTTCTCGCACGGCCAGCTCCGTGTCGCCTTATCTCGATCCCGCAATCCCAAACAGGTGAAAGTCCGCATCGAACCGAACCCCCAGCAAGGCCATCTACTTAACGACGAGAGAAAATTCACACGAAATGTCGTTTTCAATTAAGTCTTCCAGATGTAAAATGATATGAGCTTTTAACGAAGAAATACAATTATCTAATTCAAAACATAATACAATTCTAAGATGTTTCATTTTAAAACTTCAAAACGGAGCATCGGGTGCTTGCATGAATGCGTCGTTCGTGTTAAAATTTTTGTGACTTTCCTGGCCGAAGGCCGTAAATGGTTGTGAGGGGGCACCATGGGCGCCCCCAAACAACCCCTAGTACTATATTCTTAGTTCTTCAACGTGACTTTACCGAAAGAACTAAGAATATGAATTACTGCAGTCACGAAAGCTTTAAATCAAAATTTAACCCCTAGTACTCTTATATTTGCGCGTAACTTTACCTGTGATGAACGCTGCACTTTCCATCGTTTTTATGAAAGGGGCGCTGCAAAGCTACACGCCCCCTGCATGAACGATGGAGACGCAGGGACAGACGTTCGATTACGTTGGAATAGATCTGCAGACGGCGTTCTTCTCGCACGGCCAGCTCTATGTCGCCTTATCTTGATCCCGCAATACCAAACAGGTAAAAGTTCGCATCGAACCGAACCCCCCTACATAACGAGAGAAAATTCACACGAAATGTCGTTTTTAATTAAGTCTTCCAGATGTAAAATTATATTAACTTTTAATGAAGAGTTATCTAATTCAAAAACATAATACAATTCAAAGATATTCTTGGTTCTTTCGGTAAAGTCACGTAAAAGGGAAACAATAAAATAACAAAATATAAAACAAAATTCTCACGACGTTTCGACTGCAACACAAGCAATCATCATCAGGTGTGAAAACCACAAGACAATTGTCTTGATGATGATTGCTTGCATTGCAGTTGAAACGTCGTGATAATTTTATTGTTTAATATTTTTATTATTTCCCTTCTACGTGACTTTACCGAAAGAACCAAGAATATGAATCCCTGCAGTCACGAAAGCTTTAAATCAAAATTCAATTCAAAGATGTTTCATTTTAAAACTTCAAAACGGAGCATCGGGTGTTTGCGTGAATGCGTAGTTCGTGTGCAATTTTTTTCGTGACTTTCCTGGCCGAAGGCCATAAATGGTTGAGTGAGCGCCGCAGGCACCCCCGAACAACCCCTAGTGTCTTATTATTGGATCTTCTGCACATAAACTCTTGACCGATTGCATTGCACAATTTTCCACGTGCAAGCAAAGACAAACAACTGAACGGAAAATCACGATCTAAAACCTCACAGTATTGTTGTAAATCAGTCTTAACTGGCCGTTTGGTCCAGGCAAGCAATATATGAAAAAATAATATATTTTATATACAGTAATGTGTTACAAATGTGCAAAAATTGCAAATGTCACATTCCTGAAGTTGAATATACCTTTTAGAAACAAATGCATTGCCCTTATATTTCCTTGTCAAAATTGAATGATTGCTTCGCCAGAGCCACAATAATTGAATGTTGCTTAAACATGGCAAGCAAAATATGCAGACCATCGCTCTTATGGCTATAACAGTGCTTCCGAGACACCCATAAAAATATTACCATTTCTATGAAGACACACCACCTCCATTGCAAATGTTTCAGGTCTGAAGCTTGGTAGGAAATAAGTCATGAGTTATATGTTCATACTTATTACAGTCCATATTGTGTATTTTATTTCATAATTCCTGATGAGTAGAATGCTTTTTTATGTATTTAGTTCACTGTCCTTGCATTAGCCTGTTTTCAGTCATCTGATGTGCTGGAGAATGTGCTAAATCCAGATTAGTGTTGCGTGTCAAGCAAATGTTACCAGGCTGTTAGACCAGATATAATTTCATCCTTCCTTTTGGTTATCATTAGCTGCATTGTAGGGGGCATGTATAGCTAATAGATGTTGTACACGCTGTACATTTTCTGTTGCTTATTTTGTTTAATGAATGAGTATATAATATGCATATAGTTCAATCTTGATTTAAAGCTTTCGTGACCACAGGAATCCATACTCTTTGGTTCTTTCGGTAAAGTCACGTAGGTAGAAAAATAATAGATCACGACGTTTCGATCGCAACACAAGCAATCGTCATCAGGTGGGACAACCACAGCAAGAAGACAGACGACTAAAAATGCCCTACCAGTATTGACCTCAGCTAGCAGTGTTTTGAGCCAAATGTTCCATGCTGACTTAGATCAGTATTACTGGTAAAACGTTCTGCACTTGAAGTCCATTTTTCTATTTATTTTTGCATTATATGTAGTGGATGAATATATCATGCATCACGTCCAGCCCTTTTGTCAAATGTCAAAAAGTAAATACCTTTATTGGTAGGTCCACCTGTTAAACTCTCGCAATGCACATTGTGCAAATCCTTGAAGTTGTTCATCCTGAGCTCTTGTTCTCTTCATGTATTCTCAGCCATGCAAAACCCCAGAGCTCGGTCTGCTCTGCATCAGCCACATCCACCATTTCTTTACCAAAGTTGTTGCTGAGA